CTGTTTTTATATTGATTCCCTGCCTACAGCCTTTTGCTACCAATTCCTTGCACTCTCAGAAGACCCTATGAGCTGAGCCTTGGAGGGATCTTTCTTAATTTTCCTGCTCCCAGGTTTCAAAAGGCTGTTGCGTTATGGTTCAAGAACGCCCTGGGTCCCTCAGGGCTGTTTTTCTCATTACTCTTGCCATGCCCAAACTCTCAGTGAGCTGTTTTATTTTCCCTGGGGAGGGCTCCATTTGCCTTTGAAGAAGGAAATATTTATCTACCCTCTGTGTTTCTCTCAGACTTCAGTTGACTACTAACTTGCTCTCAAGGAAAATCTGATGTGTTATGGAGGGATCTCTCAGCTTTCCTGCCATTTCCTTAGCTTTTGCCAGGGTTCTGCCTTGGACTAAGTAAAGTCTATTTTAGTTTGTAGGGATTTCTTTTTATTACATAACTTTTTGTTTGCAGATGTAAAGTATTTACATGGTTGCATTTGATAGCATATAACAAGATATATTCAAAGACATCTTATTTATATCTTCATCTACTTCACTAATTTTGTTTTCAAAGCAAATTTTGTTGTTTTGTTTCTTTCTGAAAATATAAGTATATATTAAGTCACTTTAGCATCATGTGTATACTATATGTACCTTGATTTGTTTCTCTTAATAAATCCTGGTAATCACTCCACAATAACGTATACAGATTTTCCTCATTCTTTTTAACAGCTCTATATTATTTATAATATCCCATTATCTATCTGTATTTTATAGATTAATCATATCCCTACTTATGGATATTTGGGTAGTTTTCAACCTTTTAGTAATACCAGTAATGCTACAATTTGCATGTGCAAAATTTATTTTCTGTTTTTCTATAGCTTTAAGTTGTACTTTTAAGTAGTTTTATTTATTTTTTTACTATTCTTTAAGACCTAATACATAATTAGTATTCTAATTAAGATAAAGAAGAAGGAAATTATTCCTATACTGCCTCTCATGTGTCCAACAACAACAAAATGTTAACCAACTTAGATATATGGAATTCTTTTCTGATTTTATATATATATATACACACACACACACACACACACACACATATACATATACATATACATATGTATATATATATATATATCTCTTTTGGGCATCTACTTCCCATTACAACTTATGAAACCCAAGAGAAGGTATTGCCAACAATGATTTATGAACTGTAACACTCTCTGTATGTATATGTGTGTGTGTATAATTTGCTAGTAATAAATTGGGTCAATTTCATATATTATTATTATGAGGTGTGGGTTATGTGTTTCATTGACGTCCAACTATATGCCTGAATCTGAAGAAAAATTAAGAGACTTGGATATATGCAAAATAAATGTTAACAGTATGTGTAGAGTCACTAAAATTTGCATGTGTCATAACAGAATGAAGAGGAAGAAAGAACATTTGAAAGTTAATTTGTCAGGAAAACTCAGCACTTTCCTTCAGGACATCTACTGAATATCCATATAGTGCGTGGTCTCTGCTGTAAAATGGGGCATTTATATATTGTACTTCCATTAGAAAAAAGTGTATGGAATTTATACTTCAGGTCAAAATCTTGCAGTTTTATTTTTAGCAGAAGGTAACACAGATTTTCTCATATTATAGTATATATTATATTATTACATATAACATATTTATATATAAATCTATATATATCTCACATATATTGCTAGGTCTCTAATATATATGTTATATTATGTATATGAGAGAGAAAGATGATAGTATGTGCTCTCTCTTCAGTTGCTACAGAAAATCTCCACTCAAAAAGCCTATTGTTCCCCAAGTCGGCATTTGTTCCTGATATTCAGGTTTTCCCGGACCTGTTAAATTGTCTTATTTGTGTTTCTATATATGTCTGTGCTTTGTGTACAATTTTAAATTTGAATCACTATTTACTTTTGCACAAAGCATGAAGGTTTAGTAAACTCTTTTTGAGGTGAGAATATAAATAAATCATCTATCTGTGTTTGAAAAGTCTAAACTAAAGTGCAGTTGTAAGCTTCAGCTTGTCAATGGATATTTATGAGGTGAGCATGATACTATAAAGGTTTTGGCAGTGAAATATATCCTGCACAGATAGCTAGTAGAGGAGCTTGCAAGTGTTAATGCCAGCAGAATTTTAATGCCTGAGAGATGGGAAGCACGACACTTGCTCTGGTTAATGCTACTCTTACTGGCTACAGTGAAAAGGAATGGGTGAAATCAGTTTTCAGATCCTGCAACAGAGCTGGGGTCTGTACTCTTTAACTAACAGCAAACAGCTCAGTCCCTGCTATTGTCTTGTTTCCATCTCTTGGTTTAGTTAACTATAGAGCAGTAACATAGCACCAGACAGTTTTATTCTGGGCATCAACTTCTAATTCCTACTTACTCTGAGACCTAAGAGAAGGTATTGCCAACAACGGTTTCCGAAGAAATGTCAACGAACTTCTTCTAACAGAAACTTGCTAGGGCCTGAAAATCACTTAAGTGAAGTTAAAGCTGACAGATTCTAATTGTGAATTTAGTCTTTGTTACGACTCGAGTTTTGTTTGTGGTTTACCCTTGATGCGCTGTCTCCCTTCTTATTCTGCGGGAAGGTGGGCAATAGGGTAAAGCTTCCACACACAGCTCGGCTTTAAGAAATGAACTGGGATCTTAATACATTTCTAGTTTATAAAGAATAATATTGTGCTTATTTTTTCCTAGCAGCTGTAGAAAATGAAATCAGGTGTTCAGTCTTCAGACCTAGGGGGCTTATTCTTCTAAAAGAACTTTAAGGATTTTAAGGAGACTAGTATAATTTCAACATGCTTGCACAGATATTAAATATCTGTGTTAACTTAGTTCGGGTTAAGTTCAATTTTATCATCATTTGAAATCACCTATCTGCTGAATACTTCATTGATTCCTACCAGAATTAGAAAAGGCAACAGAGAAGGGAAGTAGACATGATATGATCTTTTTATGTAAGGTAGAGATTGATAATACATTCATTGGAAAGTTTTAGAGGTTTAGATGAATTTGGAGTCTTCGTCATTTAGAAAGTTGAAAATTAAGGAAGAAATATACGTATTAGTTTACATTTACTTATACCTAGTCTAATTCTAAAGAAGTACTGAGAAAAATACACAATAAAGTGTCAGAATAAAATAGAGAAATAATCACAGGCCAAAGTCAATGTAGAACTATGCCAGAAACTGTACACTAAGGGTAACAATTGTTTTTAGAACATCATGCAAATCCGAGCTTGTTGAAAGCAAATGCACAAAGAGAAAGGCTGAGTTATATAGTAGCCATTATATAATAAAAGGGAATCACATGAGTGACAAGCTCTTTTCTAGGTAGCTCTGAACTCTAAGAATTGATCACTTTGTATCAGTGTCCTCAGTAGCAATTTTCTAAAATGCAATGTCGTTGCAAGGTTTATAATGTCATAAACCTAGGAAGGCATTTCTAAAGAAAAAATAAATCAATGCCAGGTAAATAGATTACTGGTGATCTGGCTTACCTAGGCACAACAAATGTCCTGAATGATAGCTAATTGGGGAAGAGTATAGATTTTACTTAATATTCATTCTGCAGTCTTGTTTGAAGGTTCTAGATAACACAAAACTGCAGTTTGAGTACATGACCTGTGATCATTGCTTTTACCAACGAATTTTGACCTCATTCTAAGGTGCTCTTCTCTGTGCTTTTGTCCCACTTCCTTTTGCACAGATATTATTTGTAGAAATTAGGCACAAAGTAGTAATCAAATTGACAATTACAGTAACAGTGTCACTTCCAAAATTATTTAGAAGACAGATAATTTGATGAGTATTTGCCTTTTAGCAAAAAAACTAATGGAAACTAGTTTGCTTTTATGCTTTTGTGTTATTTCATTCATATCTGAAATTTCCAAATTTATTGAGTAGTCATTTTTGAAAGGAAAATGGACTAAAAATCCTGTTTTTATGTTCCAAGTTTTATTCCTCAAAGTTTGTCGTTTCTTTTGAATATTACCATGTATTTGGAATGAATGTATTAGTCACACACATTCATAAAGAGAAGTTCTAATATCTGAAACTATAAAGCAAGTATCACAAGAAATAGACAAATCTCAATAGGGTGATAATCTTGACCCTAGGGTAGAAAGCAGTGTGCTAGCTTTTGGCCTGTTGAGGAATCTGGACATGACTTACGTAGTACAGTGAATCCGCACTGTCCCACTGAGCAGAGGGAAGGAGGTGGGGACCCTTTATCATTAATTGGAAACTTGGTTTTCAAATGAATTTTAGATTATTTACAATTACATATGAAATTATCTGTCTCTACAGTCTTTATTGAATTGCTAAGGAATTGAAATGCAAAGTCTTTTTGGAAATGTGCAATGCAAAGAAATAGTCACCATTTGGAGACATATAATGGTGATGTGCATTGTGAGAGCTGGTCAACAGCAATGTACAAGATCACTAATAGGTCTCTTACAAAAGCCTTTTTATAAAAGAGAATCACACAGAGATGACATTTCTTCCCTTTCTCCCAGACTCTTGTACCTTCAGTCTCTTACTACTTAGATGCACTCCTCATGTATACATTTTAGAACCACAATTTTACATCAGTTTTAGAAGCACCGATTGCATAAAGGAATACTTTCATTTTAGTTCATTATAGAAACAAGGTGGTGGCTTTGATATTTTTATTGCTAGGATAGTAACACTATACTTTAAATAACAACAACAAAAAATTCCTCTTTTCCATAGAATTTTTTCACTCTAATTTTACCATACAGTTGTGTAGATGAAGTTGCTCTGGACAGTTTCTCAATGAGACATCATGTTTTGACTCAAGGGAAAAAAATGATAACTTCATATCTCCTCTTAACATTCACCTCACCTTGGGTGGTTATTTGTTCTATTATGGTAGGAAAACTAGGGATTCTTATAATTGCTTTTTTATAATTGCTTTAATATTTCAATAAGGATCTGTTTGTTTGTTTTCCCAGGGTCGGTGCATAAACTTCTCCCGAGTTTCTTCCCAGTAAAAGGAAAGGAGGAGGGCCACGAAGGTGTGAAGGTGGTCCGTCTTCGCACTGCTGATTTCCAACCAAATGAAAACCCAATAAGTGCATCTTAGAAAGTTTTGGAAGAGCAGCTTCATTCCTCTCGGTCAGGAAGCGTTTCCTCTGCCTTCTGCTTTGCTTGCACCAGACATTTTCAAACACTTGCCCTGCCATCTACACGGGAGTTGATGGAACTCAAGTGGTAACTCATGACTCATGACATTGAATATAAAGGGGAACTTTATGTGCTGTGGCTTACACAAGAAAGTCTGCATGAATGTGTAAAAAAGGGGGGGAGAAAATAAAGAACAGGATGAAGATGACACCAGTGCGGGGACCACAGAACAGCTGGCCCCGATGGCTCTTTAATGAAGAAAGGAGTGTCACGCGTGGAAACATGGCACTCGTGTGTTTACATGGCAAGACTACTCACGGGCAGCCTGTGAGACACCCACCAGCTAAGCAGACAAAGGAGGCCCTGCCTTAGAGCTCTGCGGGGTCACAGACCCTTCCAGTCCCCTAGGCCGTGGGCCTGCGGGAAGCTTCGCCCGGGAAGGCCCGTCATTCTGATGCCGAGACGAGCGCACACGATGAGATGCGGACGGATGCCCCGGGCACGGGTGGCAGGCGAGATTCTGCCCTTTAGTTTTCGAGCCTTTCTTCCGTCGTGCGCTCGGGAAAGGAAGGAGAGTAGTGGAGCACGTCCCGCGGGAAGGCAGCGCCGCCCTGAGAGCTGAGGACAGGGCGCTGTGGTCGGAGCCCCCCCGGGCCCCGCAGCGGCCAGCGCCCCCAGGAGTTGTATTCGCTTTTAATTTAAAGGAAGCAGCAACCACACAGCTTCCGCTCAGGGTTTTTTCTTTCTCCAAGTCTCCACGGGCTCTTCAGCGTCACAAGCCAGCAACTCTCTTTGCATGAAAATTTCAAAGTTTAATTAATATAATTAAAGGCAACAGCAAGCAGCAGCCTGTGAAGATTTCGCCCATCTTTTTTATGCCTTTTGACATTGAATGACCTATTCCTGTATGCGCATTACTTGGATTTGGGGGGGGCCTTTACCTTGCATGTGATTCAGTAGAGAAGCAAAGACCTCCACTACTCATCAATTTAAAAAATTAGATTTTCGGGAGGGTCAGCCACCACAAAACATCAAAAATGTATGTATTATCATTTTTTTAAGAAAAACCACCATCGTGCCGTGTCGACAGTGCCAGATTATGTTAGCGTGAGCGGAAACACTGGGGGGGAGGAAGAAAGCAGCAGCTGAAGACAAAGGCTCAGATGATCCAGTCACTTCCGATGCTGAATTTCAGAGGCGAAATGGATATTCGACGCGAAGCCTGCCAGCGCGCGCGCTTTGATGAGAACTGGCACAGACAGTGACCAGTGGCCGGGTCAGTGGGATGTCTCTCTGCGAGCACGAAGGCTTATCAAATGACACTAAAAATAAGTTCAGCCACCGTCACATCGGAAGGGGGAAGGCGAGCATTTCATGTTTGGCGGGCATGTGAGTGCACTAGATGGAAAGAGCGATCTGGAGCAACCCGTATAATTACCCCCATTGTGCTCTTAATGGAAGTTCAGAGGACGGGAGGGATTCTGTTGGTTGGTGTCCGGATTTGTGGCACTGCTCCAAGAAGCCTTACTCACACACGCAAATATACATTTATATGTGTGTGTATTTTCTAGCTTGAATCTTTTGCTCAAGTTTATTTATGTCACTGGCTGGCTGGATCCAAAGTCATGTGTCTACATATTCATAAATAAAATGTTACCTGTGCCTCCGCTACCATTTTTTTTAAGCCTACATCAACTCAAGCCTTGTTTGATTGAATATGTCATTGTCCTGATTAGTTTTAAGGACAGAATTACATTGAGTTCCAAAATGTCCCTCATGTTCACAAACAGTCTGTTGGCAGTAATTATCCATGAGTGCAAGTATGACTTGGAAGCCGATGTCCACCCAATGAGTTCTTGTAGACCTTTGTTCTACATTTGCATCTGGGATAGGGCCTATCCCTATTTTCTTAAATTGATAATTTATTTCTGAGCAGTGCACATCCCTAAATGGCGTTTATGAGCATCCAGGATGCTTAGAAGCTAAAGCTGTTTCTTTGATAGTTACTTTGAATTTTTCTAGTGTCATATGGCATTTGTATGACACTTGTATTTTGCTATATGAGCAGTGTAAGTAGACCTCTGCCTTTAAATGGCAAATCTGTGGATTGTCATGCAAATAGACTTCCAGTTCTAATACCACTATGAAGAATTCTCAATGATGACGGAGAGGCAATGGTCTATATGTTGTCTAAAAAAGTACCGTTCATAATGTTTAAAGACAGATGGGATTTTATTGCACCGAAAGACATGAACAGATTTACATTACAATTTTCTCCGATTAGGCTAACTAGCAAATGAGAGGACTTTGCTTCAAAGAGTACTGTTTTCTCACTAAATTGGAAACCTCCAGACCTTTCAACCAGGAAAATAAAAGGGTAGTATAAACCCATTTCCATGAGTTTAATAACATTTTATATGGTATATAGAGAAACAGTTCCTCATTAATATTTTGGACTTAATATCAGTCAAGATTTCTTTTCTGTGAATAAGCGAGCAAGCCTTCATGCATAATCCACTTGTGTTGCATAAGGCTGCAAAAACAATTAGGTGGGAAATGACTCCTAACTTATGTGTCTACTCTGCCTGGAAGAAAGTTTTGAAGGCATCTATATATATTTCATAACAATGTCTGTTCTTTATAGATTTGATCCATAAATATTTATCTATCTGAAAACTTCGATACTTGGAATGTTTTCCTTAAAGCATTTGGTGCTCCAAGAAAAAACATTTGGTGCTAAGAGTTGCATCACTGATGCCTTTCCCCAAGTTAATTCTATTTTAACATTTTATATTTCCTTCCCAATGAGATGCAGAGTAAAATTTGAGACCCTCCCTCAAGAAGGGAGCAGCATCTGTCACTATGGATAATTACTGTTTTGACAAAAATATATAAGGTTTAAACCTCTTGTATTTCAAATTGTTAGAGAAGAAATGATTTGCTTATATTTATCTTGAACTTTATTCTAACCACTTTAAATCATAAATTATTCAATATTTGTTTTTCAAATAAATCTATACTGGGTATAAGATCTGGTGTCTCGGTGAACTTAATAACTTTATCTAAGTGTCAATATCAATGACCATTATTTACTGCTCAGAGGCAATTTATTAGTTTATTTTAAAAATTAAAACACAGCCAATATTGTGGCCAACAAGGTATCTAAAATATTTTTGATTGATCATATTTTAAAGGGACAAAATATAATTAGATCACATTTACAAGTATTGTAAAGCAAATATTTTTCACCACCAAGCCTTGTGCTTGACTTCTACTAGGTTTTGTATAGTATCACATTATGTTAGGAAATTTATTAGTGTTTTATTGCTACTGGAAATTTTTGGTGAGTGTCTGTGCACAGGAGAGAAATGCATACATTATTTTAATATGAATGGAAATATATAAACTAGAACCATAGAACAACTCTGGTACATCTGTTGTATTTTTAAGGAAAGAAACTTGCAGGTGAAGCTGGAGAATGTTGTCTGTTTGCAGGTATGAAGTGAATGTAGCCGTGTATTCTAGCCTTGGAGTTAGATTAATATTTCGCTTAGTGAATGTCTGTGGCATCTTTCTGAGAACACTTTCATTTTAATACATCTCTAAACTTATTAGTATCTAGTTCAGTCGTTTTGATAAAAGGAAGAAAAATTATTTTCTTGTAATGTAGCAAGCCCAGTGCTGTTTTTAAATTTTTGTGCTTTTCTTCCCAAAGAAAATGCTGATAAGAAAGTACACAATATAATATGCAAATTTATATTAAAATGTGCTTGTTCAGATTGCATGGCAAGAACTGTATTAAGGTAAAGTGTGTGTGTGTGTGTGTGTGTGTGTGTGTGTGTGAAAGAATCTGGCGACGGAGGGCCTAGACCATAGGCCTACTCACAGCTAGCTTGCTAAAACTGAACAGATCAGCTCCTCAGCCCTAGGCTGGAGAAGCACTGAAGATACTAAACTCTGTTCCAGCTCTGACAGCCTATCTGAATATAGTCATATTGGAGGTTTTTGTATTTATGTATCTCATATTTTTCATGACTTGCTTTATTTGTAGAGCAAGGTAATATTAGCTTTGTAAACTGCTACTTAGTTACAAAAAATACATTGAACCCATAGTCCATAATTTGATAATTAGCCATAACATTTCTTAATTTCTTATAAGTAGAATTTGTTAAAAAGGCAACTGATAATAAAGTTTACATCTAGTGAAATCTCTCAAAAGATGAGTAAAATATTGAGAAATAGATTTGTGCATTTCAATCTGGCTTTACAGTCTTCGCAAGTGTCTCAAAGGCATAGATAAAAATGTACAGAAATTGTTACGAGAGATATATGCCACCAGATTTAATGGTCGAGGTGTTTTGTGCCCTGCAGAAATTTAAATCATTAAATTTTTCTTTAGTCAAAATTTGGGGGGGGAATCTTAATTTACAGCCCCTATGCCTATGTTTCCCGTAGGAAGTATTCAATGGAAAATGTTTTATTAACTTGAACAGAGCTTAGAATTGCTGACCCTGCACACAGTTACCATCATCATGTAGGAAAAAACTCGGAAAGTAAGAGTTCAAACAAACAAAAACCAGATCCTTAACATTCTCTCCAAATTACTGTGAAGTTATTTGTATCTTAGACGATTTATATTTGCAAGGTTGTGTCCGTGGATAGTCCAAAATAAATTGTAAAAGTTATTAAAATGAACATTTAAGTAGATTTCAATTTGATAGAAACACCAAGAGTTAATCTTCTAGAATGTAGACTAACAAAAAGATACGCGCTGCCTTGACGCCCGAAGGCAGGGTGATTGTAAACAATTCGGAATCAGAACAAAGGACCTGATCACTTCTGAAGTCAAAGAGGAGAGAAAAAGGAAATTGTTGTATCGTGAGCTCAACTCAAAGCCAGTCAGCCCCTCGGGAGCTTCGGGACTCCACCGTCCACTCGTCCACTCGGTGCTGTCCCTGGGGGAGGAGCTGACAGCACAGAGTAAGACTGACTCGTTCTGGCAGATGACACCTGTAAGTGGAATTTTTACCAGTTAAAATTCTGATGTGAAATGAGATGATTACCATCATCACACTAAAGTGGTTTTTGTTATTTTTTTTTAACATCCTCTAATTCTAAAAATTGCTGTTAACTAAACAGCAATGACAGACCTTCATCTTCTTTAAATACTTTGTTTGTGTGAGGCTGACACATAGGAAGAAAGATTATATTTTTAAACAATATGTTCAAGTGTAAAAAATCTTCAACAAATTCTTAATGTTTTTAAAAAAATGGAGGAAAGTTCCAGGACTTTTGTAATTAACATCTTGGGCTTCTTTATAGGGAGCTGGACATTTCAGAATGTTTGAAAGGCTTTTAAATAGTTTTTCAAAAAGGTATATCAAAGGCTAAATTATGCCCTGGAATATTTTTTCTCATCTTAAGGGATGTTGATTGATATGAGTGGATTAATATGGCACAACACTAAAACCAAAAGAAAATAACTATGGCATTAACAATTGTTCATTAACTCTTCGTTCCTGTCACCACCCAGAAAGTACTGAAATGAGGTATTTGGAGCAATGATTTAAAATATTCTAATTCAAAATGATAATGGCCAATTCAGAGGTGATTTCAAAATTATTAAATCTATTGACCTGGTATAATAAAAATAGTATATGCTCCAAATTATTATTTTAGAATTATGGATAAAATGGAAGGCATTCCTTTGTTTTAAAAAATATTTTCCTCCACCCTTCAAATATTAGTCCAAAGGTCTCAAGCAAAGGTCATTACTGCATATGTTTATAATTTCTAACTTTGAAAAAACACTTTTAATATCTGTTAAATTGAAGCTATTTAATATCAGTTAAATAGCTCGTATTAGTTTTCTATTCCTCCTACAAGAAATTGTCATAAAATCAGTGGCTTAACACAACATTAAGTTCTTTCCTCATACAGGTCTGGTGGTCAGAAGTTCAAAATCAGTTTCACTGAGATAAAAAATTAAAGTTTGATCCCGGCCGGGCGTGGCTCAGCGGCTGAGCATCGACCTAGGATCCAGGAGATCGCGGTTCGATTCCCGGTCAGGGCCCATGCGGGCTCGATCCCCAGCAGGGGGCGTGCAGGAGGCAGCTGATGGATGATTTTTTCATCATTGATGTTTCTATCTCTCCCTTCCTCTCTCTGAAATTCATAAAGATGTATTTTTTAAAAAATTAAGGTTTGAGCAGGGCTGTTTCTTTTGGGGGCTCTGAGATGAGAATCTGTTTTCAGCTTCCAGTGGCCCGGCTGTTGGCCTGTCCCAGCTTCAGGGTGTGTCACTTCACACTCTGTTTCAGTCACCGCTTCACCTCTTTTCTGTCTGATCTCCTTCCTCCTTACAGGGACCATAGTGGTTGCACTGGGCCCACTCGGCTAATCCTAGATAAACTCTCAGATCCTTAACATCACCCTGCGGAGGCCCTTTACCCCTGGGAGGTTACAGTCGCAGGTTCTGGAGGTGAGGCCACAGACATCTTGTGTGTGTGTGGGAGGGGTATTATTTGCCTACCACAGAGGTTATAATTTTCCTTTCATTACATATTTTCCTTGTATCTGATACCATAAGAAAATACACAAGTTGAGTTCAAGTCCATTAAACCCTTGCTTTCCCAAATTCTTTAGACGTCATCACACAAGGTAATTATAGTTTGGGAGGAATTCCATTTGTTCCCATTCTACTGCTTCATATTTTAATTGAGATTTTTGTCAGCAAAGGAAAAATGCCAGAGGATAACTTCTTGGAAGATTTTGGCCAGATGATAGACCTTGAACGAGGCTAAGAAGCATATGGGCAGGGTTTGTTGTTACCTCTGGAGCTTTTAGCTGGCCTAGCCGCATAAGCCCAGAAGTTAACCTAGATTTAGTGCCCGTAATACTTTCTGCTGCCACTGAAAATGTGTTTAGCAAGTACTGAAATATCACTAAAGACAAGGGACAAAAATCAATGTTCTAATGCTAACATCAGCAATAGACACATAAAAAAGAACTTGATAAACGCTTCTTAAATTATTGTATTAACTATTTTGTCCTAAATCATATGTCATTTGTGATGTATATTCCAAAACATGTTTGCACAACGGAAAATTCAACAAGCGATTATTGAATGCCTGCTAAGGAAGGGCCAGGCAACGTGATCACTAAAGAAGCGGTAATGAAGAAGTTGAACTTACATTCCAGCAGAGAGAAAAAACACCTTAAGTGAACAGGTAACAAGTGCAAGGAGCATTCTGAACGTGTAAGTGCTGTGGTTGCCTATAACAAGAGGACTTAACCCGGTCTGGGGATTCAGGGAGGAAGTGTGAGAAGCGAGATCCCTGAAAGGGAAGCACACAAAGGGAAGAGAGAATGTTGTAGAGCTGGGAAGTCCTGCCCTAGGGCTAATCAGCCTGAGGCCACCTGAGGACTGAGAGACATCACAGAGCGGAGAGCCAGGCAGAGTGGAGACGGACAGGATGGCCTGGGAAGGGATCAGAAAGTTCACTATTTTTGACTGTATCTTCAGGATAACAGAAGTCAGTCGATGACTGTTTGAAGGTCTAAAGCAGGAAGGCAATGTTACCAGGTTGACATTTTGAAGCAGTCACAGGTTAGTGGGGAGACCATGAAGGGAAGGGTGCATCACAGATCATTGAACATCTCTCTCCAGATCTCAGCGGCATTTTGCATTGTCTGGATGTTATATTTTCGCGCTTATAATTTAAATTCCCTTGAAATTATGGGAGCATTTATTTTCCAGTACCTCACTTAAAGCATATCCCCCTCAGTTTTAAACAGATGCTAGATGTTTAAAGTTAGAACTAGTCGTTCTTGCTTCGCACTTGCATTTTTTTCTATTACTTATTCAGGAGGAGTCCTATTTTGAATTATTTGGTCCACAGAACCTCCTCTCCCCTGGTCCCCACCCCTGTCTCTATGGGACTTCTCACCCCTGTGCCTAGATCTCTGGGGTCTGACCGCCACCCAGGTGTCCTGTTGCTGCTCTGAAATTTTCAGGTTCACCCCCACATT